TGGTTGAGAACAACGCCTTTGTTTGTTTGATGGACAGCGGCCGGTGGCATGCCAGCCGGCATTCTTGCGGCTCTTCTCTGCCCCGGACCCCGAAAAAACGATATCCCCTTTGCTTTCCTCCCGAAAAACGATATCCATCTTGACCCGGTGCCAGCTGTGCCGAACCCTGGCTCCTGTCTCCGCTTCTATATGATTCTGATTTGGCTGTAACTCCAAAAGATATGACTACGATAAGTACATTCATTCAACGTTAACAGGATGGTTTTTTGGCTTCACTAGGGTCCTATGCGTGAACATGGTATTGAATTGCATCATTGTTCCAGATGAAGTGGTCAGGGACCTCTCTCATTTTAAACTAAACTATGATTTGATGGTCTCATGCCAGCTGGATATCGTTTTTGTGGGACAAAGAGCAAGGGGGTCACGAAGCATCCCCTGACAACTAAAGCGCCGTAAGCGTCACACCATAATGTATAGCTAACAAACGTATACTGCATAAAGTATCACGAGGTGAATATTAATCATTGCATGTTCACAGCCAGTTTGCAAGTTCCCTAATTTATGACGAACAGAATTTCATTATGAAGAAAAGTCCTATGTTATACCAAAACCTTCTCGTAGAATACATTACAAATATAAAAGCGACATGGAGCAGATTGATAGTCAGTGACTTTTTCTCATACGTATATTTTTTTGCATATTCCTAAGAAATAGTGATCAAATGAGCGTGAATCTCAACTGCATTGCGAAGGCAACCGGTTATCAAGTTTGTGCTTCATTCCTCTCACACAGAGGATACTAAGTCAGTCTAGTTTTTATTGGGTTGTACCGAAAGTTCGTTCGCACCATTTTCAAAAACTCGTAATTTATTTTTTTGACAGCACCGATGTAGAAGTCTCTTCGCGGGGATTAGCCGTTTAAGGAACTCCGAAGTCGGTGAACCCCTACCTTGAGGTCCCTTCTTCCACTCGCCCAGAGTCTCGGACGGATTCGTCCGCCTCGAATTAAGTCGGCCAGCCGAGCCCTGGTTCTATGCCAGAAAAGCGTTTGGTTAAGGGAAAAGGATTTCGGTGGGGGACTAATCACCTTCCGAAGAAGGAAGACGACCTGATGACACCAGCAAGAGACTCTCAAACTTTGCTGAATTTTCTTTTTTTTTCTTTTTTACGGTGCACCCTTGTGTGCAAACAAATAGATAAATAAATAAAATTCTGTTTTTTTCAACCGATTTGCAAATTTCCATTTTTATCTGAAGGAACAAGTCATTTTCTTCATAGCAGTATCTTATCGGCATTCTATTGAGCATACACTGCATAGATATGAACGGTAGAAGAAAACCACTCAAATTTTGAATTTTCTGTGTGGGGTTAAAAAAAATCTGAAACCTGCATTAAAATCGGAGCAGCTACTACTATAGGCTCTTTCAGCAGCTCTTTCTATCTGTGCAAATTTTGCGCTATTGAGCGTCTCTATGAAAAGTTATGATTTCCCTGAATGCCAAGATAAATCAAACTCACCCTTTCTTTGTATTGATTGCTCGAAAATCATAACTTTTCATAGAGACGCTCAATCGGCGACTTCGCACAGTTAGAAAGAGCTGGTGAAAGTAGCTGCTCCGATTTTTACTGCAGATTTCAGAAATTTTATGACCCTACACAGAAAATTCAAAATTTGAACAATTTTCTTCTACCGCTTATATCCATGTAGTGTATGCTCGATAGAATGCCGGTAAGATACTGCTATGAAGAGAATGACTTGCTACAAATTTGCTTTCGGTATCTGCTATGCGCCCTTTCGTTATAACATTTCTTGTCACCAAAGTCCGCACTGTTTTGATGACAGGATTTACCAATATCGTTAGAATGTTCACCGTGCATAAAAAAAAACAAATAAAAGCGTCTTTCAAAGTGTTGAGTTTCCACAAACGTGCATAATGCAGCAGTTTTACAATACTTATCAATGTAAAGCATGAACTTTGCGTTCTAAAGGCCAAGTGTAGTAAAAAAAGTGAGCATCTTAAAGGCAGCGGCCTCGCAGAATTTCTTTTCCAGTTCTTCACCTTTTCGGAACCTTCTCGCCATGAGAAACCCATATTTGGGCTTTTTAGCGCACGAAAATGGCAAAAACGCACTTTCTCCGAAGCTTTTTAGACCCGCATTTAGTGAAGATACGCCGGAAAAAGTCGCACCCCGCCTTTTTTGTTACGTTTCTTCCCGCGTTAGCCCCCTTTCGCCGTTTTCACGCTCTCCAATGTAAATTTTCATCTCAAAATCGACTACTGGCACTGCCATTGAACTGAAGAATTATAAGATGCAGACTAGCTTTCACGGCGATCAACACTATCGCACGATCGCATACATATATTATGTTTCTGCTGTCAGAATAAGCATCTGATCGCAGCTTCTCGCCTTCATTCAAGCGTCATCGCCTACTGATCTCATATAAAAAATCTCTAACGTTGCTGATTTCTTGCTCTCGCTGTTTTTTCGATCGTTCAATTTGTCACCCTTGCATGCGTCTATAATTACCTATAACAGAAAGTTGGATAGAGATGGAAACGAGGAGGAGAGGGGGGGGGGAGGAAGTAGAATGGATAGCGGTTCCTTTTTGAGAAATAATCGATGTTAAATCCGAAGGTAAAGCACTTTAGCCACAAAGTAAGCCTATAAGTTCTTTTATCTTTAAACAGTTGGGAAGATTTGCAAGTATTGCGGGAATGAATTGGTTCTGTAAAAAAAGGATTGTTTTAGATTTGCTTTTTTTGCAAGGAAATATACATTAGAAAAAAGCTTTAATTTTACCTTGATTACCTTGTTCGTATTTCTTCCGAATGTTTTATGTTTTTGTTCTTCTTAATCTGATCCAATAATGCCCTTTGGTGTGGTTTTGTATGCATGCACTCAGACAACTGCATCGGGAAGTTCGCGGGTGCTTGCTCGGCCACCAATCATCCATGCAGCGAGCTGCCCGGTATAAACCGATATTGGACCCGATGGATGCGGTGCAGGAGGAACCAAAGGCCTGCCGCCTGTAGCCGTAGGAGATAATTAGGAGCGCGAGCACTGTGGAGAAGATTTTGGCAAGGGTCCAGAAAAACTTAGCGAGGACATCCTTAGAAAAAACCATTATAACTCTTCTTGGAATCAACTTTCAAGGACATGAAGGACAGATTTGGGATCAGTATTGAAAGGCGCATTTTTCAGTAATACGCCTACCGGATAGATAAACAACTCTGTTTCGCTACTCGTGTTCTATTTTCACCAAAACCTGAGCCCTCAAAATTCACCGTTAAAACTGACTTTCAAGTTCAATGTTGTGTGAAAGATTTTGAGTGAATTTTTAGTAATTTCTGGATTTGAAGTAGAGAAAGTAGGGAGTGTTAATCAGGAAATACAGTCAACTAAGTTGCATGTGATGAACTTCCTGCTATTGTGTACAACCTCGAGAGGATTATTGACATAGTTTTAATGGCGATTCCTGTGAAGTCTTTAGTGTCAAAATTTAGAATAAGAATAGGTTTGAAGTTATGAGACAAACTGCATCTTGCATCTTGACGCAAGCCTCCAGACGTGTTTTTACAACATTTGATTGCTTTAGTTCATTGATACAAAAGGCAAACTATTCCTTTATCTCAAACAAAAAAGAATGAATTTTGAATTAAAATTCCTGTTTTCAGCAATTTAAAACTTTAAAGCTCATAAAAAACGTTTCTATAAGGAAGTTGACTTTTCTTACCGCTATTATTCTGAATTTTCACTCAAGTTTCGGCCCAGTAAATGCGCCTTCAATTTTACATTACAAATCTGTTTTTCAAGTTCTTAAAAGTCATCTCCAGGCAAAGTTATAAAGATTTGTTCCTACAGAATGTCATTGCCAATTTTCTTGGATCCTGGCCAAAATTTTCTCCACAGCGCTCGCGCTCTTAATTATCTCCTGCGGATATAGGCGGCAGCCCTTTGGTTCCTCATGCACCACCCCCGGACCCGATAAGTTACCGCGGCGCATCCTGTAAGCGCCCAATAGCTGATCCGATTAGCATGCTTGTGAGGCCTGGCAAGAGTGAAGAATTTTTTGGATTGTCTTTTATGGACAACGACTTGAGTGCAAATTGAGCAACTTAATTGAGCAACTAGCAACAATTGTTAGCTCATCTGATGTCGTAAATAACATTCATCCGACTGCTGAAGTTTGTCTAATAAGCATAAAAACATAACTGTCAGGCAGGACCAAACCCGAAAAGCGATTACCGACCCTCACAAACACTTAGGGTAGCCCCATCACTGCGGCGTACTCCACGCGGGTTGCGCCTTAACCTACAGCGTGTAAGAAGTACGGCCTTTGATAAGACCCGCCCGCGGCCCTCCGAGTGAGGTGATTGGGCCGCGACTCTCCCGATAAACTCTTCCCAATCCAACTTTGGCCGCAGCCCGCCATGTAACACGCTTTGAGGCCGCGAACTTTCCGATGCAATTGTCTGAGCATAGATAAATACAAATTAGGGATAGAGGCGAAAAAAGCGTTCCTCGATACTCTTGAGCATGAGTTGGATATCAAGTGAAAATCGACCTTTCAGCTTTTATTATTAATGGTTTACATGTGTTGAGCATCAAGGGCTGGACATATATCAGGCGATTTCGTCGTCGCGCGATTCTCCCAACAAGACAACTGTTACGAGTCCATTGCCTGCCGGTCATCCTGCATTTCGGTTTTGATGGTTAATCGCGATTATTCGTGTCGGAAAACTAACACAACTGAAAATGAAGGATGACCAGCATGCAATGAACTGGCATTGTCTTGTTGAGAGAATCGCTAGGAGATAAATCGCGTAATGTATGCCCGGCCCATTATAAAGCATAAAAACTATGATGATTGAGTCGAAACTTACATGTCTATACTCTATCGCAGTTTCTGAAATGGAAATAGTTTGTCGGCAACATTGACAAAACGACAGTTGCACTTTTACAGTGATTAGTAAAAGATACACTTCTAAAATGGTTTCTAGGTTCTGCTACGCTTTTTTGTGTCCAACAGCAAAGTATTCGACAAGATATGGTTCTTTTTCTTTTTGCTGCGCTGTTTGCTGCTGTGAAGGTGAGTTTGAGAAGACCTTGGTAAGTAAAAAACTCCTAAAATCTTCAATCTTAAAATATTCGTGTAACATGGGAAGGATACCAAGTTACCCTAGCAAATTGAAAAGGAATGTATATATTAGGTTATCCCAGAAGTAAACCTCTTTTTTAAATAATTCAAGCTGTTTTTATTTTCCCAGTAAACTAGGGTAGCATTTAATAGAGCAGATTAAGCTCTAGAAAATATCCATTAAAGGCAGTACATCGGCAGAATGAGACCCATGACAAAACAAGGTATGAGCCCCCATATGGATGGAACCTATCGGCCAAAGTCCGGTCTTTCTCTGCCACTTCTAACCCCCGAAATTTCAAAGCGGAAGCAGCGCTCATCTCCTGTCCTCTCCGAACCCGCCTACCCCATGGACGAGTGATTTCCGCGGTCAGGGCGCCAGCCGCAATGCTATAAGCATGAGGTAAGCAACGAACCTGCGCCTTCGCCATAACGGGCTTCGCGTTCACTCGTCCATGGGGTAGGCGGGTGAGAGGACAGGAGATGAGCGCTACTTTCGCTTTGAAATTTTGGGGGGTTAGGAGTGGCAGAGAAAGATCGGACTTTGGCCGATAGGTTCCATATGGGGGCTCCTACCCTGTGACCTTGTTTTGTCACGGGTCTCATTCTGCCGATGTACTGCCTTTAAGGACCTAGTCTGAGTCGCATTTCATGGAAAGTTTGAAGCCAATATCGAAAAAAATTTTGTCACCTGAAAATTGGATTTCTGCGATAAAGAGTCACAGACCTCCAACTTGGTCGTTATACAGTAGGCACATGGTAGTACTCAAATATGCTTTTACCAAATTTTTTCCAAGCATAAAACGGAAAAACAAAAATTGCCCAAAAATGGCAAACTCCTCCCCCAGCCATTCATTCCCACATGTGTCATCGTATACTACAAGCCTTACTAAGTATAATAAAACCTTACCCTTGTATGTGCTCTTATGATCGAAAAATACCAAGTTTTACATAGAAAACCCGAAAAAAGTTGCATTTTGGTTGCAGACCATCTTTTTTTATCAATTTTGAGTCCCGGAAAAAATCCGCCAAATACAGTTTTGGGTATTACTATATGTGTACTATATATAAAGACTAAGTTGAAAGTCCGTAGGAATTCTCTGGAAGGGCAGCTGAAAAATTTTGATTTTTGGCCCCGAATTTCACCTGAATTACGACTTAGGTGGATTTTTAGTTGTCCCTTTGTAGGGCTTGCTCCGCTCAATCGAACGGTACCTTAAGTCTATTAGAAAACAAGAACAGCTCATTTTATTTGAAAATGGCGATCACTTTTGGGACAAGTTAATATTAGACGTCTCGTCAGCTGCTATTCTCATATCTGCTTTTCTTTTCTGCGCAACAATTCTCCCTAGAGAAGTTATGTGCGTTTGAAAGTCCAACTCTCAAGCATTAAATGGCATAAAATCAGCGAACAACGTACAGAAACACTATGCTGATTTCCACTAACTGTGTTCTCGTTCCTGTCAGTATACTGAATACAACACTGATTAAGCATTTCCAGGTGTCTCGGTAAAGCTAACTTTATGCCCCTCAAGACTTGACAAATTAGGACTTTCGAACCCTCATGACTTCTTTCGGAGAGTTGCTCTGCAAAAAAAGCAGATTCCAAATCAGCGTTTATAGACGCGTCTGGTGTCTTTCATTTTGGTTTGACAGTTTAACTGGTATCCTTACAAACTTTTTCAGATCGGTAGTGCGGTTGATCCTATTCAAGTCATTGTAGTCAGCAATCAGAGTTTCGATCCGTCTATGAACAATAACCATATGCAAGTGTTCAAAATGCTGGTCGGTACGAAAGTCCCGAAAGAAGCAATAGAATGTTTTGCCCCTTTGCAGCTGCATAATTATATAAAAAGCAAGAACTTCAGTTACAAACAGGAGGATGTAAGCCAGAAGATCATCAATGAAGGAGGACAGTTCTCCATTTTATACAAACTGAAAAACTTTGATTGCGACGGGGTAAGTCGAAATAGTTTAACAAAGTATTTGATCAAGGTCAGGAAAAATTGGCTTTCAGTTAATCGACTTTGCTCGTGAAGGCAAACGCTTAGCAAATTTCGTCAAAACTATCAAGGTCAAATGTTCAGGCAGAAACGAAGTCACAATCTAGTCTATGTTTCTTTAATAAACGACTGTAGGCGTCAAAAATAGGATTGAAATCGAGCATCGAAATCGTTGAGCATCCTCCCTCCCACACATTTTGAATACCTGCCTGGAAAACGCCTCCTTTTTCTACTCCTCTGTAAGATCTCATGGTATGATATCCTAGAGAGAGATCAACATGACTTGGAAAAACTCGATTTTTCGCGTGTACGCCCGAATTCTGTGGTAACACACGACTATATAGTATGGTTCATTTATAAAATTGTGACGACGGATTCGACTGCGGTCTTGGCGCCCCCAGGAGCATAATACCCTCATACAAAAAAGCATCATCTCAACGCTTAGCTCGTACGCTTGTAATGTTCTAGTCTATCATACCTAAGCAGAAAAACCAGTCGAGTAGAGATTAAAACCAAGAAAATGCGGTTGCCGTAAGGTGCGTACGTTCGCCTGCGGTCGCGCCATTGTCACAATTTTTCAAATGCCCTATACCATCAATTCTTTTGATGAAACTTGTACAAGAGATTTTAAGAAACTAATTTCTTAAAATGAGGGTTTGTAACATTCTAATATGGCCCCGGACAGACTTCACGCGAATTGATCGTCGCGATCTAGTCGCCGAGATTTCCATTCATTTTCATTTTACATTCAAAAATTTCGGACTGAAAAGTAACACAACCGAAATGCAAGTTGATCGGCATGGAATGATGTTGTTATCGCGATTCAGTCGCGACGATCAAATCGCGTGAAGTCCGCCCGGGGCCTATGGCGGAAGCAGATTCTAATTTCTACCGATATTTTGCAACCCAGCATTATGTCATTCGATAGATCATACATCAGCTCTTCTTACAGGGTATCTCAACCTGGTTTTCAAAACAGGCGCAATTCGAATCCTCGCATTCGCCTTGCATAAGCCTTGCGCAGCGTTTGCTTACGTATAACACCGTATCTTACCTATCGTATTTTACCACGCTTTCACTGCACTGCTTTCTTTCCACCGTCTTCTCACTTGTTTTTTCCTTTGATTACTAAGTTATCCTTCTTCTCTCCGAAATAATCCGCGAACTTGTTTTCGTCCAGTGCTCAAACTTTACACAAAAATCGATAAAATCGATAAAGTAACGGATAATTTCAAGAACTAACATTGTATTCGTAAACAGCTTGCTCGATTAGCCCCTGTGTCAACTCATAGCCCCGTAGATCAAGCTTTACAAAAAATCGATAAAAATCGATAAAATCGACATAGTTTGATGACGAAAAGTAACGTATAACACCCGCCCCGATGTGTATGTGTGCTAAGTTTGGTTGGGATCGGTTCAGAGATGGAATTTTCTTTTCGAAACATACGTACACACATACAGACATACACTCAGACAGGCAAACAGACATTCAGCTTTATATATAAGATGGATGCAAATGAACAGGATCAATTACTTTGACTGAACGAGATCGGCGGCTGGAAAGACCGCTCGCGCCCGCAGCGCGTCTCTGTCTCTCTCGCGATGGGGTGAGGACATTAGGTAGACGATCCCGCCGTACATCTGCAACGATCACACACTCCAATGCATGTACAGGCTGAGTATCTGCTGCATTGTCCGCGCGGGACCTCCTCACGGCGACCTAATGTCCTCCACTCCCCGCGATGTGCTCTCTGATTACTGTTTAACCTTGAACAGCAGCTTGCCAAAACCGAACATCTCGAAATCTTGACATGGAAAGTTGCTTGCACCCTAAACATGAGAACAGAGCAGGTCCGAGCGCACAGCATGCTACCTTTGCTTAGAAAATCCCGTTACGCGCACGCCATTCTAATACGCGCGGACGAGCTTGCGATTCTCCCTAACACGTCAGAGAAGGCATGCCGCAATGTTATAACTGCGAGGGTGGTCCCGCAACGATTCTGCCTAACCATGGCGGGACGTGCTTCACTCGTCCAAATTCGAAATTGGAATCCTTGGGAGATGGTGGTTCTTGCCATTTTCGCGCTCTTCATGGTGGATCTTCGGAATCAGCGCCTCGATTACCTCAGGTAAGCAAAAAACTTCAATTCGACAATCTGGCGGGCCGCTGCCTTCAATTAGGCCACGAAGCCCGCCTTCCAGTCGCCAATCCAATTAACCGAAGGGTACCATAGAATCAAGGACCTAGTCGCGATAATCGAAAATCGAATAAGTAATAGTCGAATAATAGTGATCGAATAATAGTCAAAAATCGCGATAAGTCCTATGTGTCCTTATTACACATCAAACGCAAAATGTTTCATGGATAAGATTCCAGCTAAGAACCATTTACATCTATGATCAATGAGACCAATGCTATTGTTTTTTTCATTTGCAGAATTTGCTACATCCTAGAAGAAAATCGTCGTAAGCATACAAAATTCAAAAAACTGTATGATGACATCACCTTAAACGAGATAAGGCCACAGCGATTAAATCAGAGAACCAAAGGCGAAGAGTTTGGATATGAAGAAAAATGAGAAAACGCTAAGCAGCGCTTCGAATCGAATGCAGAATGTCTAGAAGACTAGCGACCCTAAGGGCCGCTTGCAAGTGGGTTGGGGCAATACAATTTAGCCGTATGATTGTCAAGACAATTACACCTACGTTTTATACCTTTCAGTTGTGGGCAACACGAAACTGATTAATCAATGACTTTTGACTCTCCTCTAAATATAAGAATCTCATTGTTGATAGTCGATATCTTTTGAGTCCCTTCTAAAAATTTTCTTTGGGCCAAATTTTTCCACCAACCTTCACTGAGAGTCACCAAGCAGTCGATCCTCAGAACAACGATGTAGTCTACAATACCTCAGCTAAACTGAAAACATACTTTAGTGTCCGAAAAATTTCGGCAGCAAAAACAAGCATTGTTCTCATGCCCTGCGCGTCGCTTACAGATCACATTTTGAATAAACCCTGCTCCGCGTACCGCCTACAGAGCGACATACGTAAGAGCTGCCCTACGATTGTCCAGAACGGTATTTCACGAGAAAAAGCTTTCTTACGGGTTTTCTACAGAGTTGTAACCTGAGAAAGTACTATCCTCTGAACAATAATAAATGATATTACATTCTGGGATAAATCTGCCACGCCCCCTGCACATTAATATTGCGAGGAAGCGGTATGGGCTGCTTACAGAAGAAAAAAACTGCCCGCGAACGGTGATCAGTTATTAGAAGGGCCCTATGGGCCGCTTACAGATCCTTACTTTGAAGAGTAACTGCCCTGTGGGCTGCCTACGAACCGATATTTTTCAAAAAAAAAACTGCACATGAAAAAGAAGCCTACGCTTGCGGTCCTTCACTTCGAGGAGAGGTTGCCCTATAGGCCGCGCATAGACCGATATTTTAAGAAGGGATTGCTCTTAAAATCTTCAAATTAACCTTTAAAAATGCCCAAAGAGCCGCTTGGACTACTTTTTCAAGAAACAACCGCTCTGTGTATACCACAAGCTAATATTTTGAGAACAAGAGAAGCTCTGAGGCTGCTTAAGACATATCTTTACGTCCTAACTAATGCATCAAAAAATAACAGCCCTACGCTCCACTGTAGACCAGTAACTATAGGAAGAACATGCCCTATGAGCCACTGAAAGACCAATGTGTTAAGAGGTTACAATCCCTATAGACCGATGTTTATAAAAAAAAAATAATTGCCTTATAAGAAGCTTATGTACCGGTTCAGAAAGTACACAAACCCCTCCCCTGACCCCCAACAAACCCATACTTGAGAAAAAACTGCGCTAAGGCCGCCCTACAGACCGATATTCTGAGAAAAGGCTACCTTACAACCATTCTCCCCCCCCCCCCCTCCTTCCCCCACGGACCAATAATTATGAGAAGGCGCTGTCCTATAGGAACCAGCCCGATATCCTAAAATTCTATTACCCTAGAACCCCTACAAACTGTACTGCCGTACGAAGCGCTCACATATGATCTGCTCTATGGAGCCAAAGACCGAAGTTCTGATCGAAGAAAATGGAGCTACCAGCTACTTAGATACCTACACAACGGTATTTCGAGGAAGTGCCCTTGAAATCCATACAAATCGATATTCTGTGATAAAACTGCTTTACTGGCCTCTTACAGACCAAAATTCAAAAAAGAAATGCCATATGAGATTCTACAGACCGATATTTGGAGGGAAAAAACTGCCTTATGGGCTTGGAAGAAGCCGCCCTATGGGGGAAGGGGGAGGGGGGGAAGGGGTGGTTGCAAACCGATATCTTGTGAAAAAATGCCCATGGGCCTCTTGCAGGCCATTATCTTGGTAAGGAACTGCCTTATGCGCCGCTTACAGGCCGGTATATAAAAAACATCTTAGAAAAAATTGCCTCAAGAGCCGCTCTAGATCAATATTTGAAAAAGAACCGCTCTGCGAATCCCTTATAAACAAGTATTTGTGATTTCCCAGTATCCAAACAAAAAAATAATAATGAATCGCTTACGATATTCACGTTCATGCAAAGCAACTTTCAAAGGGACTACCCTATGCGCCGCATACAGACCGACTATTCTAGGAGATGCTCTGGCCGCTTATAGGTCAGCATCTGAGAAATAATTTTGCCATATGCGAAGCTTACGGAACGATAATTGAATGATTTGTAGAAAAAACTCGCTACGTGAAGCTTACAGATGCCGATCAATACTATTAACAGAACTGCCTTACGAGCCCCTACAAATCAAGAAAGTGTCCTATGAACAACTACATTTATTGAAAGATCTACCCAATGGACAGCTAATAGACCAGAGTTGTAAGATATGATTGCCCTATGAGTCTTAGAGACCTACAAAAATGCTGTACGGGCCGTTTACCAACTTTTATTTCGAGAAGAACAAAGAACTGTTCTCATCAGGTCCTCGCCAATTATGAGCAACCATGAACTTTGACGAATTACGGGCTGCCAAGAACTTTAGCAGGAAGATTAGAGTGTGAACAGTTGAAACGTAAACGTTGAGAAACTACTATAGCATGTTTACGCAAGACACCGAGTTCCCAAGTCATACATCCGAGTACAAATTTGCGAAAGAGGGGGGGAGGGATACTGTTAGCAACCTTA